CAGAAATAACAAATAAATCGTGGACGAAACTGATCCTACTCAGGTGTGAAAACGCTCACCAACATCAAAGGATATTTCTATTCATGTCTAAGTCCTTATTGGTAGAAGTCACAAATATCTGCTTTGTACCATCGTCTTAAATCTCCCAGAACATCTTGCGGCCTATTTTTTTTCTTGTTTTTGTTTTTTTCTTGTTTTTCTTGTTTTTTTTTTCGTGTGTTGCTGTTGCCTTTGTTGTTTTTAATTTACTTTTGTTCCTATTTTATCACCAATATCTCAGAGACGCTTTTAAATAACAAAGCGCTGGATGGTTCTTGAGGCAGGAACGTGTCCGAGCTTCTGTTGGGAGAAAGAGCGAGCGAGCGAGAGACAGATAGATAGATAGATAGAGAGAGAGAGAGAGAGAGAGAGAGAGAGAGAGAGAGAGAGAGAGAGAGAGAGAGAGAGAGAGAGAGAGAGAGAGAGGGAGGGAGGGAGAGAGAGAGACGCCCCTAGAAGTAGGCCGAGCCCTTCCTGCTTCCGTTCTTCTCCATGGTCTTCTCGAGCCGGATGATCTCCCTGACGCCGTCGTACATCTCCTGCAGCGCCTCGATCTCTGTCAGGCCGAGGCGCCGCCGGTTGGAGATGTCGAAGACGAAGTCCTTGGCCTCCGAGTGCTCGCCGGAGGTCCCGCGCACCTGCAGGTGGAACTGGTCGGCCGTGTCCTCCAGGATGCGGCGGTCGTTGCCCAGGCGCGGCAGGCGGATGTGGACGGAGGCGCGGATGGCGTTGCCCAGGTTGGTCGGGCAGAAGTTGAGGAAGCCGAAGCGCTGCGAGTAACTGAAGGGGAGGCGGTCGCCGAGGGCGGTGACGGCGCGCACGAAGCGGTTGTATACCTGCCGCAGGTCGCCGCCGTCCTGCATGGAGATGATGCGCAGGTGGTCCTCCTCGCTGACCCACACCACCAGCGTGCTGTCGGCGTTGAGGAAGATGCCTCGCCCGTCCGCCCAGAAGCGGCAGGCGCCGGCGGCCTCCAGGAAGCGGTCGCCCTGCTTGAACAGCAGGTGCTCGTCGAGGAGCTTGTTCTGCTCCTCCGGCGACAGGCGGTTGATCGGCCTGTAGTAGCCGGCGAGGTCCCCGTCGAGGGTGTCCAGCGTCATCTCGATGTCCTGCTCGAGCTCAGCGTACTGCTCAGCCGTGAGCAGCGGGTTGAACGGGTAGCCCTCGATGGAGCGGGCGCAGCGCACTCGCGTCGACACCACGTAGTCGCCCCACTCGTTCAGGTCCCCGAGCGAGTCCGGGGAGCCGAAGTCGATGCCGGGGTGGCGCTCGTTCGGGCCGAAGCCGCCGTGGTACTGGTCGATGACGGGGTCGAAGAGGTCGCCGAACAGCGTGTAGGACTCGGCGTCGGGCGCGTAGAGGCCGATGTTGGAGTCGGGGTTGGCCAGGCCCGACTTGATGACGTCCAGCAGCGTGGCGCCGCCGGCCGTCACGCGGTACTTGAGCTTATCGAACACGTCCTTCGTCAGGTACTTCTTCATGAGCATCCGGGAAGGAACGCCCTTTAGCCGACGGTACTCCTTCTCGAGCGTGGCCAGCGTCTCGGGGTCGACGCGCTCCATGCCGTCCTCGTCGCCCCCGTAGTAGCTGGTGGCTGGCGGGAGGCCGGGGGAGGGGGGGGAACCACACGCTTAACAACCTCTCACAACAATATCAGGGACTCGTGTGCGGCCTCACGCGTGCTGGCTCGTGGTGTCACGTGCGTGCTGTGGTGTGTGGGGGGGGGAGGGCTCAGTGCTCCGAACAAGGTCATGCATCAACAGCATCAACACCTAGCGACAACGATAACAAGAGCAGGATTAATGCTTCATTCAGGATCAATTCTCCGTCAGCATCGACTGGATATCATGCTCTTGATTGATTTGTCTCTCGTCTTTCACCTCTGACAAAAAGGAATCGAGTCATCATGGACATTGGTCTTATTTCAGTTTATTACAGATTATTACTCTAAAAGAGGCAAGAGAAAGAGGAGAAAAGGAAGACAAAATAAAAACACACGATCAAAAAAAAACATAGGAAAAGAAACAAAAAAAAATTAAAAAAGTCACAAAAATAACACCCATAGTGAGAAAAAAGCCACACTGTTTATTCCACACAATCAACATCCATTTACCTCATTTAACAGTGAAAAGTGAGACAGACTGCACACACAAGTGAACACCAGTGCTTCGTTTTATGACTAGTACGTTTGCCAGACAACACTTAATACTTGCAAGTGATATCCGAAACTGAAATACTAAACGTCCTTGTGTGATGTAAATCCTAATTATATTTCCTTGGGTTCGTACGCAGAAATGCACCTATATAAGCAAGGTGTGTTGTGTGCACGCAAATATATATACACGCAAACGCATATATATACATATATATATATATATATATATATATATATATATATATATATATATATATATATATACATATACATATACATACATATATATATATATATATATATATATATATATATATATATATATATATATATATATATATACATATATACAATATGTACATATATATTTATACGTATACATATATACATATGAATATATACATACATACATACATACATACATACATATATATATATATATATATATATATATATATATATATATATATATATATATATATATACATATATATATATATATATATATATATATATATATATATATATATATATATATATATATATACATATATATATACATATATATATATATATATATATATATATATATATATATATATATATATATATATACATATACATATATATATATATATATATATATATATATATATATATATATATATATATATATATATATATATATATATATATATATATATATTATATATATATGTATATATATTTGGTATATATGTGTATATATATGAATATATATATATATGTATATATATATATATATATATATATATATATATATATATATATATATATATATACATATATATATATATATATATATATATATATATATATATATATATATATATATATATATATATATATATATATATATATATATATATATATATATATATATATATATATGTATATATATATGTGTATATATATACATATATACATATATACACTGTGTGTATACATGTACATACATTAGTAAAAACCTATACGTTAGTGTAAACACTGACTGGCATTAAGTGGACGGTGCGTACTTTGTTCTAACCAGACTACACATGTATTTTCCAAAAGTGTATCTATGTGTATCTACGTGTATATAGTACAGTGTGTGACGGAGTGTCTATCATTCACAATCTCTGAACGTCAACTGCACCTTCTTGTTTTGTTGATGTTTGTTGCTTTCTTTTTTCTTATTCTTTTTTTTGTTTTGTTTTGTTTTGTTTGGTTCTTATCTCTATTCTTCTTTGTAAGTATAGAACATATATAAACATAGAGACAAGGAGGAATGCACAATATGTTTAATTGTTAATTTTTAAAAAAACACGAATGAGTTATCAAGATCATGTAAACATATTTATCTTATCAATGTATTATTAGATTTTATTATATATATTTATTTATTTATTTATTTATACATCTATTTGTTTATTTATTCATTTGATCGTTGCCTGTATATGTACCGATCCCTTTTCTGTGTTTCTAAATTACATATAATTACATAAAATAACATTAATTATAAATCATTATATCAATAAATGAAAAGTTAGTTTTAATTACATTTTTGTTTAAGATTTAACACGAGTAGGTGTGCGTGAGGATGTGTTTGTATGTACGTAAGGTAGAGAGATATACAGTGTGCACGTGTGTGTATGTGTGTATGTGTGTGTGTGTGTGTGTGTGTGTGTGTGTGTGTGTGTGTGTGTGTGTGTGTGTGTGTGTGTGTGTGTGTGTGTGTGTGTGTTTAGACCGAAGATCCTATAATAGAAGATTCTAATCCTTGGGCATTCTGGTTGATTCCCTTGTATCATCACAAGATTTATTTATTTTTTAATCATGATTCTATATTTGGAGAGACTACCTAAAAATTTTCTACCTCATGACAATTTCGATAATAAGCTACATATTTGTAATTTCCCAACATGAAAGGGGGAGAAATGCTTGCTTCATTATTTCTATGAGATATTCTGTTTTCTATTTTTAACTTGATCATGCGATGTACATCATGGGTACTGATTTAGAACCTTCTATAGTCTCTAAAAAGTATATGTTCCTCAGGTTATGGGACAAGAGATACTGTACAAATATAGCCATCTGTTTATTGATGATGCTGTGACGTCATCAGTGTTGTCCTTCTGACGTCACAGGAGAAGAAACGCGAGCAATCATATGGGAATATTTTTTTCATACTTTCTGGCTGTAGTGACCGACTTTTTCCCGTGTTTTATTCGTTGTTTTGAAGGTTCAATGAATCGTAATGAACGCAAACACGGGAATGCAATGAAAAGAAGATAGCCACAGTAAGAAATGAATTTGAAATCATGACGTTTCGGATTCATCAAGAGTTCCTTCTCTAACGGTTATTTGTTTGTCTGATGAGAAACTCTCGACGGGTTCGAAATGTCATGATTTAATTTTATTTCTTATTATGGTTGTTGGTGTTGTTTTTTTAGAATAATAAGTCTAAGGGTATACTGAACGTCACGAAATTTTAAGTTTGGCAAGTTTTTTTTCTGAATGTACGGATTGAAACTCCCATGGACACTGTCATCCAGCTTGATCGAAATGTTAGGGTATACTGATTTATAAAGTCTATACATTAAGAAAAAAATATATTCAGGGATTTCGGAATACCACATTAATAATGATGGTTTATATTCACCTAGTATCCAGTGTTAATACATCTTATATTTCTGAAATGTTAACTGAGCAAGCGATTCGGACACATGATACAAACAAAGCCTGTGATTGGTCAAGAGCCAGGTAAGTTTTGTCATGATTGGTCAAGAGCCAGGTAAGCTTTGCCATGATTGGTCAAGAGCCAGGTAAGCTCTGTCATGATTGGTTAGTATTTGTAAACATGGAAGAATTTCAGCCAGTGGGGAGATCGAGTAGCCAGGTATAACGACCTCTACAGTAAATTTCTTTTATTTAGGATCTTTGGTTTAGACAGAGACACTGAGGCGATTCCAGAGAATTGTCTTGTAAGTGAAATAGAGGGAAAGTGAGAGGAAGGAGGCAAAATATGCATTTGCGAATGGCAGAAGAAGAAGGAGGAGAGAGAGAGAGAGAAAAAAAGAGAGAGAGAGAAAGAAAGAAAAAGAGAGAGAGAGAGAAAAAGAGAGTGAGAAAGAGAGAGAGAGAGAGGTAGGAGGGGGAAGATCAGTGCGTCTGTATGTATGTTTGTGTATGTTTCGCTATTTGAAAAAATAATGTATTATCAAAAATGTATTAGTGCCTTTTACATGCACATGCTACAAACATGCTAAAAGATGAATTATTTAATCATTTCATCTCATTTTTAATTATTAAAATTTAATTAAAAAAAAATCATAAGTCCTAATATTCTATCCCCTGTATTATGTGCACTGTGTGTGTGTGTGTATGAATGTGTGTGTGTGTGTGTGTGTGTGTGTGTGTGTGTGTGTGTGTGTGTGTGTGTGTGTGTGTGTGTGTGTGTGTGTGGGTGTGTGTGTGTGTTTAGGGAGAGGGAAGGGAAGTGTTGTGTACATGCATGAGGGAATATGTGATTATGTTTTGTATTTCTTCACTCATTCTTTTAATTATAATGTGTCGTCGCTTATTTAATTACAATATAATTACCATAACTCTACAAACAGATCTTACGCTTTTTTAACAGCAGTCATATCCACCTTTATATAGTAAATACACTAGCACGTGTCTCCGTATTTAAATGCACATGTGTACGAGTGTAAACATGCATATTTTTTTTATTTCTTGTCTTCGCATTCTTTTATTTAAAAATCGAGAGTTCTTTCCGGCATTTTTTTGTTCTTATCAGAAGCACAATGGAGCAAAAACAACAAGCACAGAGTAATATTCAAAACAAGCACACAAACAGAACGTTACAGGCTATATCGTAACCCTGAAAATTTTAATCTTGTATCTACTTATGATTATTTTCAATTAAAAAATAACATAAATATTTTCCTACGTATGTCACCTTCTATATAATAATGATAGAGAAAATAATAATAAAGATAATTTTTAAAAATATAATAATAATAATAATAATAATAATAATAATAATAATAATAATAATAATAATAATAATGATAAAAAGATAATAATGGCAATAATGATAATAATAATAACGTAATAATAATAATGATAATAATAATAACAATAAATTAAGTAAAAAATAAAACAGAGAAGAGAAAGAAAAAATAACTAAACCCTCATTAGTCAAAAACAGAAATAAACAAAGAGAGAATATGAAGAAAAGAAAAGAAATAAATTGAACTTTGGAAATTTATTTATAAAACATAATATAAAATAAGTAGATGAATAAATAATAAAAATGAACAGATGTATAACGAATAAACAAAAAATAAAAATGATAATTGTAATGGTAATACGAATAAGAATGATAATACATGATGGTAATAATGTTATCAAGAAAAATAATGATACTAATAATCGTAATGATGATAATGATAATAATCATTATTATATCAATAACAGTGATATTGATAATACTGTTAATGACAATAATGCCAATAATAATAATAACAAAAATGATAGTAATGATGATGATGATGATAATGATAATGATAATGATAATGATAATGATAATGATGATGATGATGATGATGATGATGATGATGATGATGATGATGATGATGATGATGCTGACGATGACGATGACGATGACGATGACGATGATAATGATAATTATAAGGATAAGGATAATGATAATGATGATGATGATGATGATACTGATACTGATAATGACAATAATAATGATGATGACTATAATGATAATGATGATAAGGTTAATAATAATAATGACAATAGCGATGACGATAATGATAACAATGATAATCAATAATGATTATAATAATGATAATAATAATACAATAATGACAGTAATGATAATAAAAAATAAAATGAAAAAATAAAAAGATGATGACAATGATATCAATAATGATAATAACTAATAATAACAAAAACTAACAAAGGCAATAACAACAATAAATAAAAGAAAAAATCAACAGAAAAACTAAAACAACACCCCATATTTAATTTTTAAAAAACGAAAAAAAAAACGTTAAAAAGCAACACACACACACCTCGAAAATTTTAAAAAAATCAAAAATTCAAAAATTCAAATCACAAGAACAAAAAAAAAGAAAAAACCGTTACGCGTTCCCTTACCTTCACTGCCCTTCGTTTCCGGCCGCGAACTCCTTGGCTGAGTGCCCATGCCTTCCTCGAGTTGAGTTCTTAAATCCCATTGGGTAAGAATTTGAGGATTTTCGATGTATTCTTGAGGGGAATGGCCGGTCTGTGGGTGGGGGTAAGGGAGGGGGGAGAGGGAAGGAGAAATGGGTTGTTGTTATTCGGTTGGGGTTTTGGTAACGGATTTTTTTTTTTATTCGTTAACAAAAGTGGGAAAAAAATGTAGGATTTGGTGTACGGAGTATTATCAAGAAAAGAAAGAAGTGAAATATATGTATATACATGTATCGTGAAAGTAACCAATTTTTACTGTCTTATACAATCCCTTTTTTTCTGGCAGCCGTTTACCTATATCCCCCAATAATACAAATATAATATATATATATATATAGACAATCAACTACGTTTCATATATCTTTATGAACAATAATAATCTTTTAAGTACGTCTCCCTTCCGTTCTGTTTCTTTTTTTTGCAACAACTTGTCTTTTTCTTCATTGTGATAACTAAAGCTTAAAAAAAACTACACCTCAGACAATAATAATAATAAAAAAATATTAACTCTAAAAAAATAACATAAATTTTACATCCGTCTCCCCTTCTACCCTACTTTCCCAAACTATTTTTTAAAAATCAACACCAACACTTCCCCCCCCCCAAAAAAAAACAAAAAACAAAAAACAAAAAAACAAACCCAACTCACATCATCCTGTAAGTCCGTCTTCCCTCCTTCCTTCTCCAAAATTTTGTAAACATGTCCGCCATCCCTCAGCACGGCGGCGTAATGAACCGGAGTCCTGCCTTTGAGGTCTTTCTGGTCCATCAGTTCAGGGAAGTTTTGGACGAGGTATCTTACCAGGTCTGTGGGCGGGTCGAGACGCATTGTTAATGGGAGTCAATGGTTTTATTTCCATTACTGTTATTGTTGTTATTACTATCATTATTATTGTTGTTGTGAGCAGTAGTAGTAGTATCATTATTTTTTTATTAGTAGTAGCAGTATTAACATTATATTTATTATTATTACTAGTAGTAGTATCATTATTTTTTTTCATTATTACTTGTAGTAGTATCATTATTTTTTTCATTACTACTAGTAGTAGTAACATTAGTATTATCATTATTGTTATATGATTATTATCGTTTTACTACTCTTACTACTACTACTACTATTTTATTGCTACTATTATTATTGTTATTATCATTATCCAATCAACATTATCATCGTCAAAATACCCATGTCATGTTCTATCCCTCTGGTCTTAATCTTAAAGCTACATTATACTGATAACAAGTTTAAAATCTAAAATCTCTCTTTCTCTTATTCTCTTTCTCTATACTTATCTATCTATCTATCTGCAATATATATATGTGTGTGTGTGTGTGTACATATATATATACAGAATATCCAACTATCTAATCTATCTATCTATCTATCTATCTATATATGTACATATATATATATGTGTGTGTGTGTGTAATATATATATGTATACATATACATATATCTTTTCCATTTCTCTTTCTCCCTCCTTCCCACAGTCACCTAGTCAACCTCGCTCCTCCTCACATCACATCCTAACTTACCCTAACCCCCCCAGAGCCACCCCGAACCTGTAACCCACCTTTAGCCCCAAACCCACCCCTAACCCACCCATACCCACACCCATACCCCCCTAACCCACCCCTAACTCACCCCTAACCCCCCTAACCCCCCCAATAAAAGAAAAATCAACCCACCCGTATGCCCGTAGATGGTCGCCTTGTGTAGGATATTAGCATGGTTCGAATCCCTCGTCTGCGCCTTCTTCTTCCTGTCCAGGAGGCTGACCACCTTCCTCGTCTCGCCTTTCTCGGCCGCCTGGTGCAGCTCCTCGATGGATTCCTGCGGGGGGCGAGGGCAGAGGAAGGTCAGGAGGGAGGAGGAGGTGGAGGAAGAGGAGGAGGAAGAGGAAGAAGAAGAGGGAGAGTAAAAGTAAGAAGAGAGACCAGGTCATGGGAATCAGTATTGAATCTGGAACCAGGCCTTGGAAACCAGTATTAAATCAGGAACCAGGTTATGGGAATCAGTATTAAATCTGGAACCAGGCCTTGGAAACTAGTATTAAATCTGGAACTAGGCTTTGGAAACTAGTATTAAATCAGGAACCAGGTCATGGGAATCAGTATTGAATCTGGAACCAGGCCTTGGAAACTAGTATTAAATCAGGAACCAGGTCATGGGAATCAGTATTGAATCTGGAACCAGGTCATGGGAATCAGTATTGAATCAGGAACCAGGCCTTGGAAACTAGTATTAAATCAGGAACCAGGTCATGGGAATCAGTATTGAATCAGGAACCAGGCCTTGGAAACTAGTATTAAATCAGGAACCAGGTCATGGGAATCAGTATGAATCTGGAACCAGTCATGGAATCAGTATTGAATCAGGAACCAGGCCTTGGAAACTAGTATTAAATCAGGAACCAGGTCATGGGAATCAGTATTGAATCAGGAACCAGGCCTTGGAAACTAGTATTAAATCTGGAACCAGGTCATGGGAATCAGTATTGAATCTGGAACCAGGTCATGGGAATCAGTATTGAATCTGGAACCAGGCCTTGGAAACTAGTATTAAATCAGGAACCAGGTCATGGGAATCAGTATTGAATCTGGAACCAGTTCATGGGAATCAGTATTGAATCTGGAACCAGTTCATGGGAATCAGTATTGAATCTGGAACCAGTTCATGGGAATCAGTATTGAATCTGGAACCAGTTCATGGGAATCAGTATTGAATCTGGAACCAGGTCATGGGAATCAGTATTGAATCTGGAACCAGGCCTTGGAAACTAGTATTAAATCAGGAACCAGGTCATGGGAATCAGTATTGAATCTGGAACCAGGTCATGGGAATCAGTATTGAATCTGGAACCAGTTCATGGGAATCAGTATTGAATCTGGAACCAGTTCATGGGAATCAGTATTGAATCTGGAACCAGTTCATGGGAATCAGTATTGAATCTGGAACCAGTTCATGGGAATCAGTATTGAATCTGGAACCAGTTCATGGGAATCAGTATTGAATCTGGAACCAGTTCATGGGAATCAGTATTGAATCTGGAACCAGTTCATGGGAATCAGTATTGAATCTGGAACCAGTTCATGGGAATCAGTATTGAATCTGGAACCAGGTCATGGGAATCAGTATCAAGTCAGAAACTAAGTCACGGAAATCAGCGCTAAATCTACAAAAAAAAATCTAAAAAAAAAGGTAAAAGGGACAAGAATAAAGAATAAGGTCAAAGAAAAGAAAAAAATCAGACAGGGTCAAAGAAATCAAGTTAAAAAGGTCACAGTACTTAAAAGGATAAAGGCAATAAGAAACTCTAATGATAACGATGAAATAAACTTTCAAAATCTTGTCAGTTGAAATGTTTACGAAATATCTCAATATATCGTAGAAGAATCGATACAAATGGTGGTTTTGGACGATTCAAAGTGAGGATTTCATTCATATAAAATCCCAGGTTTGAAGTGCTGTGCAAACCCATGCAATTTCGTTCCGTAATGTGAATCGATGACTTTCAATCACATGCATAAGGTCTAAGTATGTGTTATTTGTATGTGCTTGCGTGTGTGTGTGTGTGAGTGTGTGTATATACATACATACACACACACGCACATACACATATGTGTGTGTGTGTGTGTGTGTATGTGAGTGTGTGTGTGTGTGTGTGTGTGTGTGTGTAAGTGTTTGTGTTTGTGTTTGTTTGTATGTGTGTGTGTGTGTTTTACATACCGAATGTACAACGCATATATAAACATGCTTGCATTTGTATAAGTCATAAACATTTTGATAATCTGCTTGATACAGTGTTAACATTTATATCCATAAACATACATTTTTGAGTGGATGTGTTTACATATACACACAGACACATATGCACAAATGTGTGTATATACGAACGTTCATCATAACACCATGCAAATAAGTCATTAATACATCACACGAAGAATAAAATTCTCGCTCAAATGCACAATTCCTTTTCCACACCGAGAGGCATGCTGCAAAATCCAATAAGAAAATAAAACAAAATATCGAGCAACGAAGACGTGCTTTCCGTTTTCTTCCTCTGGACACGTAACACCGGAGACTCTTTTATTTTCCTGCAAGACGAAACCACGACACTGAGCATGCGCCGCTGTGCAGTGCATTCCACACGAAGGCGCAGGCTTAGGCACTGCGCGCAGGACCGAAGGTGAGGACAAGCTTGCACGGGAATCGCAGCCAACCACATCCTCCTCAGGTGCCAAGGACTTCCTCTCTCCCCCTCCCCCCCCTTCTCCCCCCACAAGCGCTCACCAGGTGTCTCGGGATCCTCTGCAGGAACTCGTCGACTTCCGGGTCCTTGGAGTGGAGTCCTACCAGCTTTTGGCCGTCGCCCATGATGATGATGTCGGACATGAGGCTGTAGTCCCCGTCCTCGGCTGCCTCGATGGCCCTCTGCATGTCCTTCTCGTCGTTGTGACCGGCCCTCGAAGGCCCTCGACTCCTCTGCTCGTTTCTCGACTTGTTTCTGGAAGGACCTCGAGAGGGACCCTGTGAAGGACCTCGAGAAGGACCACGAGAAGGACCACGAGAAGGACCTCGAGAAGGAGCCCGAGAAGGACCACGAGAGGGACCACGAGAAGGACCTTTCCCTTCAGAAGCAGCTCGAGAGGGAGCTCGGGATGGGTTTCGAGAGGCAGCCTGAGAAGGAGCTTTCGAGGGAGCTTTCGAGGGAGACCTTGAGGGAGCTCGAGACTGACTTCGACCACTCGTAGGATTATCCCGGTAGTACTCGGGAGTGCGGCCACTCTGGTGGCGCGAGGCAGGTCAGGTCAGGTCAGGTCGCAGGTCAAATAGCATTGCAATATTAGTAAGGAAGTAAGAAAATGACCTCTTGTTGACCTGCTAGTCATCAATCGACGTGAAAGGTCATGTCACAGGATAATTTTGGGATGATTAAGGTGAACTACCTACAGTGCTTCCAGTCTCAGAAAACAGCAACTGGACACTGGTGCACTCCGACTCACGCAAGTCTGTTTTTTTTTCTCTCTCTCT